CAGTAGTAGTTGTAAGCCTTATGAATAATTAGCAAAAAATGTATAACTGCAAAGTCCAGTGTATAAAAATTGAGAAAGTTAAGTATCAGACTGGCAACTCAATTTATATTTCTGAATAATAGAGGACTTTATCCACTTTAAATAAATATTTTTTAGGTTAACCCCAACAAGATGGAAGTGAACTTCAGATAAGGAAGATAAATATCTACTAAACAGTCAAATATATGAAATTAAAGCACAGAAAAGGCCCCAAATCCATAAACCTGGCTAACCAAACTTCACCTAAGTTTCCTGTTCAATTTTGCTATTGAAAGTAACCTATCTGACCAATCCTAAGAGAATTACATTTCCTTAGTAGTTCAAAATGATGCTATACCTAAAACTTGCTCTCCTGGGGAAATTAAACTGAACTAGTTGCTCCTAAACACACAGAAGAGAGTAACAATTAGGCAAGGAAGGAGCTGGGATAGCAAAAGGGAAAAAAAGGACATCAATAAGTACTAAAACACATTAAACCACAGTACCAATGATAACTAGTACAACACGCGCTGGGTGGTGATTTACCAAAACCCTTTCAAAGGCTTCTACATGCATTCCTTCATGTCATTGTCCCAATACCATTAGAAAATATGCATGACTACTCTTGCACTTAGGGATTAGGAGACAGAAACGTAGAGAGGCAAGTCACTTTCCCAAAAGGCTACAGAGCAAAGCTTCAGATCCAGGCAGCCCTGCTCCAGGACCCCAATCACTACATAGAAACAGGTGAGGTTAATGGTTTTGTAACAGTTCATATTTTCTCAATCTCTTTCTGAAACACTGATGTGATACATGACTGATTTCAAAGTAGCTCATTTTAAATATTAGGTATTATTGGACCTGTAAAAAATTAATCTTAAAGGAGCCCTTTAGTTATTTCTTATCTTTCAAGCACTTGCCTCTGGCTGGAAATAGAATGGGGAACTTCCCTAAGCAAGTGTAAAGTTGGCCATAGGAAAATGTAATGCAAAAGTACAGTTAGATAATTAGATGAGTGTTCTCAACCATTTGACAGAGCCAATCCTAACATGGCATCAGGTAGAAGTTTGCTCCTTTGTTTTCATAAAATGTCAACCACCTCAACAAGCCAAATCTCCAAGCTGAGCAGAAATCCCATAACTTATTACCCAAAAGGACGACTATGGCTATTTCCAGAGAATTTCTCTGCCACTGAAATGCTAGTGACCAAGTGTAATTATTAACAGGTCAAGTAATAAATTGATTCCAGGGCAGTGGAAATTATGTTGATGAAATGAAAAGTAGCCTTGCTGACAATGCACCATTTCTAGACAGCACATTTGAACATCAAATCTCACACCAAAGAGATGTGCCAAATGCCAGTGACCTAGTTTCACTAGGGTGGGAAAGATACAGCAATCTATCTTTTGACACTAGAACAAAAATACAGCTTCATGCAATAAAGGTTTTAAGTAATTGTCCACGGAAGGCCAAAAATAATAACCAGAGCCAATATCAAATACAAATTTCTTTTATGTACCTCATAAGTTAATGGGGTACATATTATCTATATTTCAAATTTGAAAAAAAAAAGTTAGGAACAGGTCGGGCACAGTGGCTCATGCCTATAATCCCAGCACTTTGGAAGGTAGAGGCAGGCATATCACTTGAAGCCAGGCCAACATGGTGAAACCCCATCTCACCTAAAAATGCAAAAAAATAATTAGCCGGGTGTGGTGGCGGACACCTGTAATCCCAGCTACCTTGAGAGGCTGAGGCACAAGAACCCCAGAAGCAGAGGTTGCAGTGAGCCAAGATCACAGATGACAGAGTAAGACCCTGTCTCCAAAAAAAAGAAAAGATATTGCATATATAAAATTGTTATTAATGTGAATTCTCAAAAATATGGCCTATCCCTATCTACAGAGTAATGTGACTTTAATAAAATTATTTTGGACTTTTTCCAAACAATAACAAACAAGAACAAAACATTGTAACTGTTTGTTATTTTTTAGAAACTCAACAAAGATTACTAACTCACTTTGCAGTGCCACATCTAAAGAAAAATGCAAGTAATAAAACATGAAACTTTTTTAAAAAAAGGATCTTCATGTTACATGCACAGAAAAACATAGAACTTGGCAACATAGCGCCATGAAAACAAAACCTATCACTTTATATACTGGCAAAAACAATAGCTTATAGAACATACAGGACAAGAAACAAGTTTAGAAGACACTGAGTTTACAAAATATGTTTGCCACGTGGTTTTCTTCTTCAAGTAAATAATGTGAAAACAGGACAAAATCACCTCTTAGAAGAAATATATTATACAACACCTGTAATGCCAGCACTTTGGGAAGCTGAGGCAGGAAAATCGTTTGAGCCCAGGAGCTTGCGACCAGCCTGGGCAAATAGCAAGACACTCATCTCCACAAAATTTTTTTTTAAAAACCAGCCAGCTGTGGTAGTGCTTGCCTGTAGTCCCAGCTACTTGGGAGGCCAAGGTGGGAAAATCAGTTGAGCCCAGGAGTTCCAGGTTACAGTGAGCTATGACCATGCTACTGCACTCCAGACTGGATGACAGAGCAAGACCCTACCTCTAAAAATTAATACTAAGATTTTCAAATACCTTTTAAGATATTAATGTTCAGGGCTAATAATCTCATCTATAAAAATGGATGCATAAAATACCATTCCAATATAGGCACACAGAATCCAGAATTACAATTTAGCATGAAAAAATAATATACCATTACCATGTACAGTTCACTCCAGAAACGCTAGAGTCTTTCAACTATCTAAATAATTCCAGTATCAAGAAATTTAGTATTAACAATGTGTCACGATAGTTTCTTAACATGATTAAGGAAGTATGTCTCAAACTAAAAGCCAGGAGAAGGTTTTACGGTAAAACAGAACTTTTTTCATAAGAATTGAAAGTGAAAAGGGAAGATATCTAAAATATAATATTAAATCAAAATAGCAAGCTGCAGAAGAGAATGTATGAAATAATCATTGTTAGGGAAAAAAATCTATGTATGTATGTATGTATGAATTATCAGTGTATGCATTTAAATCTTTTCAAATGACAGCCATCAAATAATTAACAATAATTACTTATTGGGGCTGTTTTCCCTACTGTTTGAATCAAAATCAAGTGACACGAGACAACAAAGACAACTACTTTTAAGAAACCCTCAGTTACTAAAAGATGAAAATTTGAAATTCCCCAAAATTATTTCCAACTATTATTCTGATTTCCTAATCAAACATTATTGTGTTTAGGCATTTTTCTTTTTTAAAAAAGGTAGCAATATTACTTTCGTCTTTGAATGCTCTGGGAGTTAAATTTGAAAGTAATGTCATTCCTTTCTTATTAACTGAGATTATAACAGCTTGGTACAGAAGATTCCCCATCAAGGGGACACAGGCTCTGATGGTAGGGTGCTCAAGGTTTCCCCACTGGAGGAGGCATGATAGAGGCAGCAGGTGAGTTTTAATGATGTGTCAGGAAAGAGACAGCAGAAGGTAGAAGACAAGGGGAAGAAACCGCAGGAAAAGAAAACAACTGAGTGCTGGCAATGTGCTACGTGCAGTAAGATCACACAATGGCACTGCCACAAAAGGGTGCCATGCCTAGCAACCATAGGGTCCAGAAATATATTCACAAAGTCCCACTTTAAAATGGAAGAATAATAGGGAAAGCAAGATACACAAATATAAAAACACATTCTAGTTTCACAGTGTAATCTTACAAGCAGCAAAAATATTTTTTATAAAAGCCAATTTTACATATGTAGTAAAGACAAGAAACCTGAACACTGAGAATTTTTTTTTCCATCTCTTCCACAATCTTGACAGATGGTGCTCACTTCTGAGTGACAAGTAACTATAAAAACCAGTAAGTCTATTTCAAAGCAAAAGTGGTCCTTTAAACTACTCATGCCAAATGCCTTTTAAGATTATCACTGTTAAGTCTGATTTTACCTTCATGGGTAACAAATCTTGGAAGTAGTTTGGTGAGATTTCAATGAATGGAAAAATAGCAACAGTCTGGATATACAGTAAGAGAACTTTTCTGATTAAGTGGTCGGTCATTTCACAAAAATAATGCAACTGAAGGACGGTGCATTTATTAATTTAACGGATCATATAGCCCTTCCTCTCCCAGCCAAGATAGGGTAGCAAAGGCTGGATTTACCTTCCTGCCTGAAAAACTCAAATACGGTTTTCAAGACACAGGACATGAGGCAACAAAGGACAGTAACTGCTGAAACAGGCGACATGAGCCCCGGGACTGCCCAACCTAACTTGGATGAGTATCAAAATAATTATGCTCAGTAAAAGAACTCAAGCAGAGAAAAGATTGCACAGGGGTTAAGAATATTTATGTCAAATTCTGGGAAACAAAAGCTAATCCACAGTGACAGAAAATAATTCAGTGGTAGCATGAAAAAACTTTTAAGAGTAATAGATAATATTCACTATCTTGGTTGTGGCTGTGATTTCACGGGTGTATATATGCCAAAACATATCAAATTGTATGCTAAAATATGTGTATGTTGTTGTACATCAATTATAACTTTAAAAAGCCGTGAAATATATTAAAAATGAAGAAACATTATGGCAAAAAACCATTAGGTAAGAATAAAGTGTTAGTTCTTACAATGTGTCAGGTAATGTCATAAACACTTTGCATGTATTATCCTACTCAATTCTCAAAACCTATGGTATAGGAATTATCTTTATTGTACAAAAGAAACTGAGCTATATAACTATTATTCCAAAGGAGAATTCTTGTTATCACTAGACTTGACATTGAAGTTTGTTAGATGGCATGCTGACTGACGGGTACACACTGAAATATCCCTCTGATGGTAAGTCTGAACAGTTTACACATCCTGTTTTACATATTACAGGCACTAGAGAGTCAAAAAAGCAGTCACCAAACTGGATGATTTGTAGAAAGTGAATTCAGTTTTATTTTTAAAAGATAAGGGAAATGAACTGCCGCTCTTCTTAATTTACAGACAGAACTAATTTACCTTCCTTGATTAACTTTCTACATATTCTACTTAATGACTGAGAAAAAGGTAGGTCTTTGAACATCTGCTTTCTAGACTGCTTCAAGTGATTCCTGAGACCATTTATTTAACTTGATACATAAAATAAACACTATAGAATATTAAAATGTAAATAAGGCCACCTTGATTACAGCTGGATAATAAGAAAGTAACATGCCACTCATAAAATGAATAACCTGTTTTTTTCAGATATCAAGTTACCAGCGATTTTTAAAAGTGAGAGCAATAAACACTGACATAAATCTGAGGTTATAAGGAGGAAATTAAAATACTTAGAATCAAAGTCACCAGTTAATTAATTTCATTACTTATATAATTTGAACACATAAAACAATAAAACTAATTTTAATGAAGAAAAAAAGGCAGTTAAAGTAAACATAGTCTTATAGTATTAATTCTCCTATCTATTCTGTATAACTATCCTTTGAAGTTAATCTCATTCTCTTTTCTCCAGGAGCAGTAATTCACACATTCAAATATACAGACTGAGGACTTACCAGTAGGCTGGGCCCCTTGGTCTTATACTCTGAACAATGAGAGAAAGCAGCTTCAAAATTTAGTTTTACATTTATTATGTATTTTGAGCTAATTTTTGCACAAATTGTAAGGTTTGCATCAAGGTTCTGTTTTATTATTTTTTTGCATATGGAAGTCCAATTATTCCTAACCACACTTTCTCCATTGAATTGCCTGTGCATTTTCCTCTGACTTTCAGGATTTTTTTTTAAAGTCTTGAATTTGAGGCAGTTTATTTATGATGTGTCTGATCACGGATTTCTCTGGGCTTGTTTAGATTCACTCAGCTTCTTAAATTCTTGTGTGTCTTTCACCAAATTAGGAAAGTTTTCAACCATTATTTCTTCCATTTTTTTTTTCCTAAAACACACTTTCTCCTCTCCTGGTACACTTGACACACAAATGTTAAAGCTTTGAGTATCGTCTCACAGGTTCCTAAGGTTTGGTTCATTTATTTAAGCACAATGATTTTTTTCTCAGTTGTTCAGACTGAATAATAATTTCTATTGCTCTCTCTTCAGATTCAGTCACTTTCTCTTTTGTTCATCTTTATTCTGCAATTCAGTCCATCCAGTTTGTTTTTTTATTTTGGCAATTTTATTTTTTAATCCTAAGATTTTTATTTGTTGAAGTTACTTTCCTGGAGTTCTGTCTGTACCAGTGTCCACTTCTGTGTTTCAGGATGCCTTTAGAACAGGTCAGTGGATGGCAGGAAAAAAATGAATCCCACGGTTTTTTACTTTCAGCCCAGGCTGCTCTCGAAAACTCCACAAGTATGTCACAGTCTACTTAAAATTGTACTTGATATTTAATGATCATTTTGAAGGAAACATGTCCAAAACAATATTCTTGATTGTCACTTCTCAACTTGCTTTTTGAATAGCTTTCCACATCTCAGTAGAAGGCAACCTCTCTTTTCAGTTACTGCTGCCAGAATCCTTGGAGTCATTCTTTACATCTGTTTCTTCCCAGATGTCTGACAAAAGATTCTCTTGGCTCCATCTTTAAAAGATACCCAGAATCTAAACCACACCCCACTACTTCCACCATTCCTGTCCCAGTCCAAGCCCCCATCACACTCCACTTCAACCACAGTAACAGGCCCCTGGCAGGAATAGGCCTCTTGCTTCTAACCCAGCCCTACTGTTGTCTGCTCCTAACACAGTGATGACAGTGAACCTTCAAATATCTAAGAGCACATGAAGCCAAGTCACACCACTGCACTCAGGGTAAACGTTAAAGTCCTGACAGTGGCTATGAGACCTCTAGATCTGACTCCTCTATTGTTTCTCTGACAGTATCTCCTATCACTCTTCCTCCTCCTCTCTGCTATGGTTGTGGTGAGGTGGTGAATGCTCCAAGCACACTCCCATCTACGGCCTTTTTACTAGTTGATACTTTTGTCTGAAATGCTCTTCCTCATATCTGTATAATTAATTTACTCAATTCTTTTTAAGTCTTTATTTCAATGTTACCTTCTAAATGGGGTTTGTTCTGACCTCTTCGTTTTAAACTACAAACCCACACTCTCCTCAGACCCCTTCCCCTATTTTTTTTTTCTATAACACCTTCCAATTCTGCCATAATACATAACTTATCATTTGCCATGTCTACTGTTCCTATGCCAGAAGGTACCTGCTTGGTGGCAGGGATCTTTCTCTGATTGTTCATGGCTGTATCCCTAGTGTCTATACCACTGCGTGACTCAACAAATGTCTGCCAAGGCAAGTGACTAAATATGCCTGGAAAATGGCATGTGAGCAAGGGGAGCCGTGGCAAGGAGCTGAGGTCAGAGAAGTAGCCAGGGACCCACCCTGTAAGACTTATCATCTATTAAACCTTGGTGATGGCTGACAGAAGCCACACTGTTTTTCTGAACTCATGACTCCCAGCTTTATATTGCCTTATTCCTGTTTGATTACAACAACTGCATTATAAAGGATGGTTATGATGCTTGTACACATGTCTAATCTCTCCTAAAAGATTTTAGATGATCAATTCCAAGGCAGCATTGCTGGGTCCTACGTCAACCTATTTATTCCAGAGCAACTAACAAAAAGGCCTGTACACAGTGCAAAGTCAGACAATAACTCCCAAACCACCCTAATTACACAAAAAGAACCAGTCACTGAATTATACTTTAATGCACAAAAAGATGAGACTTTGTAGTGTGTGCTCGTGTACATGCAAGGTATGTCAATAAATACACTGGACTTTAGAGGGCTGAATGAGTTTTAGCTTTAAGGAAGTCACCTGGGGAAGTGCTACACTAAACCCAACTACACTGTTCTTTCTTCATGTCAGTAAAATGTTGACATTATATGAGCCTCTTAAAAAAAAAAAAGTTCTTTTGTTATACTTTTTTTCTTCCTGAAATAGTATGACCTTAATCATATTTGGCACAGAATGATCTTTTGATATTTATGAAAATAAAACTTACCCTCACAGGATAAAAATGAGTCACTGCTGAGGATATTTAAAAGAATAGGCTCAGATTCTGACGAAACTTCTAAAAGGATCTCAACAAAGGTTATCAACAAAGCCTTTCAAAATGACTACTGTATTCAAGACTACATACACTCACAGGATTTAAAAATCCACCCTTAGCCTAAAATCAAGTTCCTGGAAAACAGGCCAAAATACTGCCTTACTGCTGAACACAACGAACACTGATGTACAGTAATGCCCCAGATCTCTCACCCAGAGGGGTGAAAACAAGACAAAACTGGGGTCTTGTTTTCTGGTTCCAGAAAACCTCTGATTCCAGAGGTTTTCTGGAACCAGAAAAAACCAGCCTCTTTTTCTGGTTCCATAAAACCTCTGTGCTCTAATTTTCCTTCTTCCTTTCTTTTTAAATTTGGAAATAGTAGGCCAACAGTAATTACTATAGGTTCTTTTCCTGAAAAGTTTCTAAGATCATCCTAAAACTATGCCCACATTTGTCACCACCCCAATCAAATGATCAAAGATCTTATCACCCAAAGTGGGATGACCTAACATTAGGAATCATATAATAAACACAAAATGAAATATGCAGCATTAACAATTTAATGTTCTTGGCAAAATGTCTTAACCTAATCATGAGGAAACATTGAGTGAAATCTAGAATGAGCAAGCCTCAGTAAGACAATTGCCTGAATTCTCTAAACAAAAAGAAAAAAGAAGAAAAAAAATATATATATGTACACACTGTTTGGGTGGGGTCACTGAAGAGATGTTAGTCAAAGTACGCAAGAGTTAGACATGAGGAATAAGTTCAAAAGATCTACTGTATGTCCTGGTGACCACAGGTAATGGTAACATATACCTGAAAATTGCTGGGAGTAGATCTTATATGTTCTCACCCCATATACACGCACACAAATGAGTATATGAGGCAATACATGCTAATTAGCTTAATTTAATCACTTCACAATGTGTGTGTGCAAATATATACAAAAACATTATACGCAGAATTTTTACTTGTCAGTTAGAAAAATAAAAGACTTAATCCCTTAAAAAATTGGTGAATATCATGTTTCAGGTTAAAAGAAAAGTTACCATCACCAATCATGAGACACAGGGACACCATGCAACCCCAATAGGATGCCCTGAGAAGAATACAGCATCACTTCTGCAGAATTCATGCCCAAAATGAATAATCTTCATTTATTTATCAGGAAACATTAGTCAAACCCAAAAATAAAGACATTCCATAAAATTACAGACTGACATTCTTCAAAATTGTCAAGGTGATTAAATACAAATGTGTACATTGAGCAACTCTCTCAGCTCATAAGAGACAAAGGAGACAAACTAAATGCAACATGGGGTCATAAACTAGGTTTTGGACCAGAAAAAGGACGCTTGTGAGAAAAGTGACAGCATTTGAATAAGGTCTACAGATTAGTTAGTAATAACATATCAGTGTTAACTGTCTAATTTTGATCATTGTGGTATAGTTATATAATGTTAATATTTGAGGAAGCTGGGCAAAGCATACATAAGAATGATTTATACTATCTTTTTAACTATTCTGTAAGTCTGAAATTACTGCAAAATGAAAAGTTAAAAAATAAAGGCTATCGACAAAAGAAATAAGTGTTGTAGAAAACAAAAAAAAAATGAATGGCGTACTCTTCCAGGTTTGAAAAAACCACAGATTTAACCAAATGAAAAATGGATCTTGCCCTGGAAAAACAAAACATAAAATGACAGCTACACAACTGGAGAAATCCAATTATGAATCATATATTAAATGATATTACTTACTAAATTACTGTTAATATTCTTGGTTGTGATAGTAGTGCTGGTTATGTAAGAGACCATTCTTGATTCTTAGAAAATATATGCTGAAATATTTAAAGGCCCATCTATATTTTGAAATGTTTCTATGAGAAAGAAGGATTTGGGAAATGGAAGGAAAAAGAAAATAGGATAGATCTTGGTAAAGAGTATAAAAATATGTATTTTACTGCCTTTCAAATTTCCTATTTGAATATGCCTCTCCTCAAAAGCTGGGGAAATAAAAAATGAGTTCACAGAGCAGTGGAAATACAAAGCATCTCAATCCCAGTGGTGTACACCCAAGCAAAAAGCCTTAACAAATTATCTTAGTTATAATAAGGTTTCCTGACACAGACCCCAAAACCTCCAGTAGAAGAGGTAAGAACAAAGACCAGGAATTAGAAAATCTGTCACTATTTTTTCTGTAAATTTAAAGAGATTTTCTATACTGTCAAATAAAAGGATCTTAATCCTCTGAACTTGTATTTCGTCCTTGTAAATGCATTAAAGGAAAGTACTATTTTAGAAACTATTTATAAAAGAGAATTTTATTTTATAATATTTGCATATTCTCCCAGTTGGGAGAGGATAGGAAATGTAAATGCTTTCTTAAAGGTGAGAATGTTGGAGATCAAACTAGGGCTATATATTGTACAAAAATCTCCAGTAAAATTACAGCAAAGTTCTGGGTAACCATTTTAATTATTTTTAAATTGGCTAGTGCTTCAAATCAACAGTATTTCATTTCGTGCTTAATATCTGTAATCAAAAACATATATACACATATATATTACAAATAAAAGCACTGGTTCAAGTATTTGATAGTCAATTACATCCCATATTTTAATTACATCTGATATAACTGTTTAAGGAGGTTCGATTTTGCTTTAATGTTTCTACATTCCTTCACATCTTCCTTTTTATTGCACTATATACTTTTAATAGTCATTTGACACCAAACAATATTCTTTCTAATAAAAACTGAAATTGAGTCTTCTAATTTAAAAACTACATGATAGCAATGGAACATTAATATTGTTCATTAGAAATACTACCATCTATTCAAAATAATTATTTTATAATATAATTTTTTAAATTTGTAAAACACACCTTAAAAATCAACATATTATCAGGCAGGTCCACGCTTCCAGTAAAGAAAACAAAACAAAATACTATTTTTTGACAAATTGCTTTCCTGTAAACTGCTCTCACAAAAGGACAGAAGTGATGAAAGGACAACCAATAGCGTCATGTTAACTCTCTCATTTTTATCAAATGTACAGTAAATTCAAATAAGGAGGTACAATTTCATTTGGATTAACTTACAAATGTTGCCTGGTATGAAACCACAGACCTGTAAAAACTTAGGGGAACATTATTTGTCAGATTTTAAACATCTATTTCCTACAGTGGCTGCAATTAATGTATTTTACCCAAAGATATTTGCTTTCTCCATAATATTAAAAAGAAAACTAAGCATCTATTTTTCCCACAATATTTTCCCCGTATTTGAATTCTCCCCACTTATTTTCTGTCTATCTTTCAGCTGTCAGCATCTGCTCATCTGGAAAAGAGGAAGAGCTGAGGCAGCTAACAGTGGAGCAAGGCTCACTGGCAATGGCCAAGCCTTCCCCGGAGATTACACCCCTGGCTGTTCATACGGGCTTCTGTAACAGGAGGCAGCTGACGCATTTTCTTTCAACCAAAAGAGATTTACCAAGAAGGGAGAAAAAAATTAAGTACAGTCTACTGTGTCTATTATAGAAAGCTCTTTATAACAGTTAACAGAAATGTTTATAGCCAAAAGGACGATATCTCAGAGATCACTTCAGGCATGGCAAAATTCACCAATATAAAAACACAATTTTTGAAAAAAGCAGTCTTTTCTTATCAACTATAACAAAGGAAAGAGGACAAAAGAGATGACGAAAATATCTATGGATAAAAAATCTTCTGTAGCTAGAGCAGAAGAGGACTTTTCTACATAAAAATTTCAGAATAGCTTCTTTAGGTAATAAACACAAAAGCCTATTTTTTAAAAAAAAAAATCTCTTCTGTTTCAAAAAAACAGTCTTCACCCAGGGCACTTTAAGAACTATAATATTAACTTAAAAGCAGACTAAAAATTCTGTGGATCTCCTACCTAAATGTGAATATGTAGCCTCATGTTATGTAGCCTCACCGAAATTTTTATTAATAATGAAAATGAGTCTGATTTTCATTTTTATTAAAAAATTCAATGCTACGTAACATTTTATGAGCTATGAATCTGAAAGTTTCATGGTATTAAAAGAGGAACTAAAATATATTCCTCAAACTCACTTAGGAAAAAAGAGGTCAGGGCAGTGGCTCACACCTGTAATCCCAAAACTTTGGGAAGCCAAGGCAGGAGGATTGCTTGAGGCCAGAAGTTCAAGGCCATCGTGGGCAACACAGTGAGATTCTGTCTCTACAAAAAGAAAAGAAAATTAGCCAAGTGCAGTGCTGTGCACCTGTAGTCCCAGGTACTCCCAGAGGCTGAGGTGGGAGGATCTCGAGCCCAGGAGTTTGAGGCTGCAGTGAGCTATCGTTACATCACTCTACTCCAGCCTGGGTGACTGAGCAAGACCCTGTCTCCTTTAAAAAAAAAAAGAAAGAAAAAAAAGAAAGGAGAAAAAGAAAAGGAAAAAGAAAAAGACAACCATCTTTTATAAGTACACGGGAAAATGTCAAAGCATTCTTTTATCACAAATTTATTTAATGAAAACTAGAAAAATAATTCTACTCATCAGAATATCTAGTTCAAATTCAATCAAATCTACCAAAAAAAAAAAAAAAAGTGGATTATAATTAATACATCCACTACTGAAGAGGACCATAAAGAACTTAAGTATACTGGAAAAAAATTCTAGTTTCTAGAACTCAAAAGGTATGACACTGTGCGTTTACAAGAGAATACGGAAGAGGCTTTTATCTATAATCTGTTTTCATCTAATCAAAACAAACACTGCTCTGTACCTTCTGGTAGTTGTAACACAAAACTTTTCATGATCAAGACAGAAAATATCCAAATTACCAAGTTCATCTTGCTCCCACCCCAAATTTCTGCCACCTACTAACCCCCATCTGTCCCCCCAAATTATGTAAACATTGTCAAAAAGTTGCTGTACTCATTGCTATAACAAATTACCACAAACCTGTTGCGTTCAAACAACTGAAATTTATTCTTTCTCAGTTTTGGAGGCTAGAAACTCAAAATCAAGGTGTCTGCAGTACCGGTTCCTCTGAGAGGCTCTGAGAGAAAATTTGTTCCGTGCCTTCTTCCTTGGCTTCCCGTGGCTGCCAACAACCCTTGGCACATTCCTTGGCTTGTGGATGTATTACTCCACTCTGTTTCTGTCTTCACATCACCTTCTCTTCTGTGTCTTCCACTTTCTTATAAGGACCCTTTGTCTTTGGATGTAAACTTCTCTCAGATAATCCAGAATACCTCATCTTGAGATCCCTAATTACAAGTGCAAAGACCCTTTTCCTTCCAGGCTGACATCTCTTGGTGTGTGTTTAGGCGGGTGAGGGGTAAAGGGAGCAGGTCATTCAATCCACTATAGCCACTATCTTTCTATCTTCTAGGATTAGTTACATCCTGACTACCAATTAATGCTTACTTCTCAAAAAAATTTCAGAAACACGTCACATCACCCTTTTTCTAAATTTTGCTTTATTTCACATAGTTTTCTGGGAATTCTTTTTAAATGGATCAATTTTCTTACAAATCCCTCTAGTGTTTTTATTAGTCATAGTGAAAAAGGGAGACATAATAGAATAAATATATATTAAATGCTTTTGGCCTACAAGAATAACACTTTTATGAATTGCCAAAGTAGAAAACATAGGGAGTCTTACACGTTGATCTTGGCAGTCTTCAATTTCACTGTAACCTGTTTTTAATTTCTACCTATATATAATCAGAATAAACACTCTTATAATGATAAGGTTAACCATACAATTTTAACCAATTCATATGCAAACCTGCCTGCCATGTTCAACACTGACTTTAATATTTACATTGTTATTGTTGTTTCATTCGTACTCCAAGCATCTTTTAGGATATATAAGATACCATGAGCCAAGATTGTGACACTGCAGTCCAGCCTGGGCAACAGAGTGAGACTCCATGTTTAAAAAAAAAAAAAAAAAGGTTCCAAGGAAGGTTACTACAACATGCATAACCTTAAACAAAATCTACTTTTTGAAAGAATGACTTCACAAAATGGGAATGCCTCCAAATTCTCTGAATCAAAAGACCAACAATTTCAGATTTATTGGAAGATGCAAGATTTCATAATCAATTTTGGAAAGACGTTTTCTTAAATGGCTCTTTCAAGAGCAGACGCTCATCTATTGTTTTCATAGGAATAGAAGAAATGACACCTGCTTAGCTCTAAGTTCAGGCTACCCACTAACCCCAACTTTTGTCCCACTGCAAAGAAACATGAGAAGAGAAGCAAGGGGGTACAAAGCCTGGAAACCCTCTCTTCTTTTTTTTTTTTTTTTTTTTGAGACAGAGTCTGCTCTGTCACCCAGGCTGCTGGAGCGCAGCACAATTTCAGCTCACTGCAACTTCCACCTTCAGAGTTCAAGCAATTCTCCTGCCTCAGCCTCCCAAGTAGCTGGGATTACAGGCTCACACCACAACACCTAGCTAATTTTTGTATTTTTAGTAGAGATGGGGTTTTGCCATCTTGGCCACGCTGGTTTCAAACTCCTGACCTCAAGTGATCCAGTGCCTCAGCCTCCCAAAATGTTGGGATTACGGGCGTGAGCCACGGCACCCGGCCACCTCTCTTCTTCTTCCACTTGGAGTTTCACCAACTGCATGAAGCTGTTGATGAGGACACACACATTTAAATGCACTCATAAGGCTGGGCACGGTGGCTCACACCTATAATCCTGGCACTCTGGGAGGCCGAGGTGGGTGGATCACAAGGTCAAGAATTCACAACCAGCCTGGTCAATACAGTGAAACCCCATCTTTATTAAAAATACTAAAAAGTAGCTGGTTATGGTGGCACAAGCCTGTAGTCCCAGCTACTTGCGAGGCTGAAGCAGGACAATCGCCTGAACCCAGGAGGTGGAGGTTGCAATGAGCCGAGATGGCGCCACTGCACTCCAGCCTAGGCAATGGAGTGAGACTCCGTCTCAAAAAAATAATAATAAATTTTTTAAAAGGCACTCATAAAAGCTTCAAAATGTTTGTGTAATCCTTTAGGAAAACAGATCCAAACAGTGACAACAGTAATTTAGCACAGTAATTTGAAACTTAAGAACCACCATCTTCACTGCCTACATAAACTAAAAATAGGGCATAGAGGCATACCTCATTTTATTGTGCTTCCCTTTATTGTACTTCACAAAAACTGCATTTTTACAAATTAATGGTAACCCTGTATCAAGCAAGACTATTGGTGCCATTTTTTTCCACATCATGTGCTTACCTCATGTCTGAGCCACATTTCGGTAATTCTCACAGTATTTCAAACTTTTTCATTATTATATCTCTTACGGTAACTTGTGAACATTAATCTTTGATGATACTACTGTAATTGTTTTGGGGGACCATGAACCATGCCCACAGAAGATGGCAAACTTAACCAATAAATGTATGTATTCTGACTGTTCAACCAGCTGGCTGTTCCCCTACCTCTCTCCCTTTCCTTGGGTCTCTCTATTCCCTTAGACATAACAGTATTGAAATTAGGCCAATGAATAACCCTCCAGTGGCTTCTGCAGTGTTTAAGTAGAGCAAAGATCCACACGTCTCTCACCAGAAATCAAAAGCTAGAAATGTTAATCATTTCTAGTAAGGAAGGCATGTCAAAAGCTGAGACCAGCCAAAAGCTGGGCCTCCTGCACTAGCTAGCTAAGTTGCAAACGCAAAGCAAAATTTCTTGAAGGCAGTTAGAAGTGCTACTCCCAAGAACACCGGAATAACAAGAGAACAAAATAACCTTATTGCTGATATGGAGAAAGTTTTAAGGTAAGTAAAGAAAACCAAACAAGCCACAGCATTCCCTTAAGCCAGAGCCTAATCCAAAGCAAGGCCCTAACTCTCTTTAAGTCTAGAGTTAAGTCTGAGAGAGAAGAAAGTTTGGAAGGTAGAAGAGGCTGGTTCGTGAGGTTTAAGGAAAGAAGCCATCTCCCATGGAGGTTGAGGCAGAAGAATTGCTTGAACCTGGGAGGTGGAGGTTGCAGTAAGCCACACACACACACACACACACACACACACACACACATATTTCATATAGCTGTCATACATAGTGATTCCTCTTAGGGATCTGGGCAAATTAAATTGAAAACCTTATGGAAAGGATGTGCCATTCCAGATGCCTTTAAGAACATTCATGATTCATGGGAAGAGGCCAGAATATCAATATTAACAGGAGTTTGGAAGAAGACTATTCCAATCTTCATGGATGACTTGGAGGGATTCAAGACTTCAGTGGAGGAAGTCACTGCAGATGCGGTGGAAGTAAGAAAAATGGAATTAGAAGAGCAGCCTGAAGATGCGCCTGAATTGCCATAGTCTCATGATAAAACTGGAACGCATGGAGAGTTGCTTCTTGTGGATTGGTATGATTTGGCTGTGTTGCCACCCAAATCTCATCTTGAATTGTAGCTCCCATAATTCTCACGTGTTGTGGGAGGGAAATGGTGAAAGATAACTGAATCACGAAGGTGGCTTCCCCCATACTATTCTTGTGGTAGTGAACAAGTCTCAGGAAAGCTTATGGTTTTATAAGGGGTCCCTCCTTTCACTTGACTTTCATTCTCTCTGGCCTGCCTCCAAGTAAGACATACCTTTTCTCTTCCTTTACCCTCTGTCATGACTGTGATGCCTCCCCAGCCATGAAGAACAGTGAGTCCATTAAATCTCTTTCCTCTATAAATTACTCAGTGTCACATGTCTTTATTAGCTGCATGAGAATGGACTAATACATGGACGAATTAGGAAAACAGTTTCCTGAGACGGAATCTACTCCTGATAAAGATGCTATGAACACTGCAGAAATGACAACAAAGGATTTAGAGTACTACATAAACTTACTTGATAAACCAGTGGCAGGGTTTGAGGATGGATTCCGATTTTGAAAGAATTAGGATAAAATGCTATCAAACAGCAGTGCGTGCGACAGGGAAATCTTTTGTGAAAGGAAGAGTCAACTGATGTGGCAAACTTCACTGCTGTCTTTGGAAATTGCCACAGCACCTCCACCCTCTAGCAACTGCCACTGTAATCAGTCAGCAGTCTCAACATCAAGGCAAGACCCTCTACCAGCAAAAAGATTAAGATTCCTTGAAAGCTCAGATGACCATTAAAATGCTTAGCAATAAAGTATCTTTAAATGAAGATATGTACATTGTATTTTTAGACATAATGGTACTGCATGCTTAACAGACTGAAGATAGTGTAAACATAACTTTTACATGCACTGGGAAACCAAAAAACTTGTGTGGCTTGCTTTATTGCAATATCTGTTTCATCGCAGTGGGAAAAATTTCTTAGGTATGCCTGTAACTTGAATGGGGACTTTGCTAGAGATGCAAACAATATACCCTTAGTCTCTTTACCCAAAATGTTGCCCTTCCAATTAACATGATTTTGTCTTATGCCCCGTTTCTAGGAACACATCAAGGATTTGAGAAATAGGCGTGAACAACTCATACCTCCACCAGGAATAATTGCCAATTTTGTTTCAACCAGGCCCATTTTTGCAGAGGAAGCTAAAATGAAAGAAAGAAAATTAAGTATCATCCATATCAACACATTCAAATATGACTACTTGAAAAAGTTATGAGATACACTAAAAATATTATTTACGAAACTGATATCACAAATTCTTAAAAAATCACTTCTAAAGCATTGTTATGGAAATAAGTAAACACTCTAAATGACATATAATAGGAGAGTCACACAATATTTTCTGTGAAAAACTGCCTGGCAGTGAATTAATTTTTGATGCATAAGACCAGGGCTGTAACTCCATTATTAGACCTGATATTGCCAAGTCATATTTGGAGGCTTAGATCCATTAATTATTCAGGACTTGTCAGATACTGACAAGTCCAAATTCTTCAGCTTCCTGAATATAGTCCCCCACACCAAAGAGCTTAATAGCTTATATCACATATGGCAACTTTTCAAGACCAAGTCTTTAGTTACCCTCTGACAAATAGTTTTACTATTCTGACAGCTGGACAGGGTTCTTCTTTTCATGTCTGTTTCACAGCTACTTTAAAACATCTTAATTACTTCTTTATTTGCATATCCAAATGTACTTAGGCTACTTTCCATATTCTAGTTTCCAAAATGTGTATTCCTTCAGAAATGGATTAGATGTACCTTAGCTTTTCAAGTTAAAATCCAGTGATTTCATTACAAGAAAATAGGGTCCTAAAATAAAGTAAAAAGGAGAAAAAAGTACACATGGACTAGCAACCAGAAATCCCAAGAAACTGAATTATGTTGACTCTACATTTTTCTAAAAATCTTTTGCAAAGACGAGGTCTCATTATGCTGCCCAGGCTAGTCTTGAACCCCTGGCCTCAATCAATCCTTCTGCCTTGGCAGCTCTGTTTTTAACATGAAGCCACATCAGCAGTGAAAATGGAAAGCAAAAGAAGAACAGTGACTACATATGTTGTGCTGTTTTGCCCAGTTCTCAGCCTCAGAGCCCAAGGACACAGGCAGAGCTGAGTCTCTATGGAATACAGTGTCCACAACTATAAACATGGGAGATCAGCCTATGTTGCTTTCATGAAGTAAGGGGGGTCTGGGCTGTAGCCAAATAGTCTGGGTTCAAATCTCAGTTCAGTCACTTCTTTGGAGCTTGCTGCTTCCCGGCTCTCTTCTCCAGTTCCCTCCAATGCTCCAAAGTGCCTGCTCTCAGGGCTGTTAGGCAGATGGAGTGAGTGAACGCATGTCAAGCGCTAGAGTAACACTGCGTGCCTGGGCTGCACACAGTCAGCGGTTAGCACTAACTGTTTTCACTGTTTTCCTACTCAATCCATGAGATCCTCAGAAAACCATTCAGAAGAAAGTGGACTTCAAAGAGATTAAGTTATTACCACTGTAGCTAATGGTGATTTAGTGCTTGGGCTAACATCCATAGATTAATCGCATCATCTTCACAACAGCAACAGTCATTTCCCCTATTTCCTGAGGAAGATATTGTCCTAAAAAGGGGAGGACCTCAGATTCTTTTCCTTTTTTTCTTTCTTTTCCTAATTTTTTTTTAAAACAGGTTCTCCGCCTGTCACCCAGCCTACAGTGCAATGACATGATCACGGCTCAATATGGCCTCAAAATCCCAAGCTCAAGTGATCTGCTCACCTCAGCCTCCCAAAGAGCTGGGATTAGAGAGGTGTGAGCCACACGCCTGGTTCAGGACCTAAGATTCAAACTCAGTTCTGCCTGACCCAAATCCTGGCAAGAAACAACAAAAGACTTTTTTCAAGTGGGAATTTTGAAAACACCATTAAACCCAACCAGTAACTTTTTGAAAATGTTCTACTCAACACAGGAAGTAGAATAAAATATTTGAAATTACCTGAAGAATAAACACAAACTTCACATTTAAAAATTATGTTTTTAACAGGATTAACTCTCACCTGCTACTCGTATATCACAAGCTAAAGCCAGTTCAAGACCACCACCTAAAGCGAGTCCATCTATTGCTGCAATCGTTGGCACTGGAAGGTTAGCTGAAATTGAAAGAAAAATTTTATGCTTCCTTAATAAGATCATTATCTCACTCTGTAATTCATTTTAAATTTTTTTCTGTGAATTTATGTTTTAAATGGGAGATCATATACAGACTTTTGCATCCCTTTTACCTTTAACAAAATATAACCATTTCCTTCATTATTCTTCAAAAACTTTATATAATTACTGTACAGTGTTCCATCATATGAATGCACAATATCTTTAAACCCTCCCATATTACTGAATTACTTTCATAAATATTTTTTTGTTTTGAATTGACAGAATCACAGTTCTATGATTTCTTAATCTTAGAGCCAGAAGTCTTTCACAAGATGTTTGGTTCACAGAAAGTTCAAATTGAAATGACTTAACACATAATTGTGAAATTTATGATCCTTTATGGCCTACTTGAGTGCTAAGAATGACACAGTCTCATTCAAAGAAGTGACATCTGCTCAAACAAGAAAGAAACTGTCCAAGTATTTGCTGTGGCATTGGCCCATGAGCTGTCATTTAGTGAGGAGCCCTAACACTGTGACTGGAAGCTGGAAAGCAATCAGGCTCTTCCACTTCAGAGGCAAGATGCCCTGAGAGTCTGCTCACAAGCATGCCTGGAGAAAGGTCAGCCAGTCACAGAACTAAAAACTGAACTTTCTTGAGTCTAGAAACTGAGTATTATTTTAATACAACTTTTGTAAATTATGACATATAGATTTCATTTTCATAACGAGTTGAACAAGTGACTCGTTTTATTAGTTATTCTGTAAAGCAGAATTCTTTGTATTAATTTTATTTCTGACTATGGGAATGTGACCCTAGGCTGGCCAACGTTAATATGTAACAGAAAGTGGATTTTAAAAAGGTACTATCGCCCAAAATCACATCCCATTAGAAAAATGGGATACTAATATTTTCAAATCATTAAATAGGTTAAGCAATGGTACTTTAAATTATTCATTAACATAAATTAGCATTGTAGAAAGCTGTCTACAAAATATTTCCAACTAAATAATTGAGTAAAACAGCTTGATTAGGATTCAGTAGATAATTAAATATTAGCCATTTTATAATATTAGAAACTCTAAAGTTTTACATCATCCTAATTATTCCCTAAAAGATGTCGTCGTAGTAAATTTTACCCAGGAAAATATGCATCATCTCAAAGCACATGCTAGTCTCATAGTTACCTGATATATGTGTTTTTTGTTTGTTTGTTTGTTTGTTTTACATCGAGTATTTCTTCTACTTGGTAGCAATTCATAATCAAAGAGGAGCTGGGCACAGTGGCTCAGCCTCTAATCTCAGCACTTTAAGAGGCCGAGGCAGGCAGACCATTAGAGCTCAGGAGTTCACGGCCAGCCTGGCCAACATGGTGAAACCCCATCTCTACTAAAAATACAAAAATCAGCCAGGCGTGGTGGTACAGGCCTGTAATCCCAGCTACTGGGAAGGCTGAGGCAGCAGAATCGCTTGAACCCTGGAGGCAGAGGTTGTAATGAGTCGAAAGTGCGCCACTGCACTCCAGCCTGGGCGACAGTGCGAGGCTCCGTCTCCAAAAAAAAGAAAAAAACAATCCTAGTAATCATAGCGGGAACACAATAAAACACATCTTTAGAAAGTAAATTATGAATTTCAAAGATCTAAAGGAATAGCAAAATGACAGTTGTATATAAGCACAAATAAATGAAACAGAAACTGCAAATCCAATGAGCAATGGCTATTCCCAACAGCAAGAGGAAGAAATTATGGCTCAGTAGGTTATGCAACCAATAGGATCAGATACTATTTTGAGTTTCGTACCAGGAAATGAGCCAGGTATGACAAAGAAGATAATAATCCTTTGAAACGCTCCTAAAAATATAATTAAAGCAAACAATTGAACAGTTTGCTATTTTGAGAGGAAAAAAAGCAGCTGTAAGGAAGGCCTCTGGTACACTTGAGTAGTCTACAGGATCTGCGGCCTACAATAACCGGAGTCAAGGGACTATCAAAGCGGGGAAAATTGAAGTATCTACTCTCAGCTCTCAAATAAATACAACACATAATGTAGGTTATTTGTATGCTTCTAGAAACATAGAAACAATTTGACTATTAAAGAAAAATGTGACTGTCAGATGCATGATTTCTAAATTTGCTTTTTTGCTTGAAGAAGAGTGTTCCTACAGAAAGCAGTGAAATCAAGTATTTCAATGGAAAGGCCCTACGTAGTACTATGTTAGCAGTCTAAATATTAAAATATTTCAAGAAACATAGAAATAAAATCAAAGTTAACTGAAAATTACAACGAATTACCTTCCATGTCAGCTAAAATTTTACCTTCATCCTAATGTATATTCTCCCACTCCCATCACTGAATTTAAAAAAAAAATTACAATAACAAAACAAGCCCTGAGTGAAAAATTCAGCAATACATTATTTTAATGCACCACCAGGATATTATTTCCTTTAGCATCTTTAAAACAACATGATAGAATGTCTATAAAACAATCTGATATGATATAAATCAGATGGTGACTTTCTTAGTCAATTATAAGAGAACACCTATAATTTCTTAAAAAGGAATTCATATGTACCTATGTCCAGGAAAAGTTAAAAAAAAAAAAAAAAGCAATTCAGTTATTAAAACGGACCTATTCTTTAATATAACTGAAGATCAATAATATACTACATATAAGCTTATTCACTACTTTATTACTAACATGACCCAAGCCAGAACATCACACACATAGTCTAGTGAGTTCAGGGATGTTAAATTGGTATACTATGCTTATGCTGACATTTCACATCTCAACAAATTAGTAAAGTGATAAAGTCCTAAATTCAGTCACTGCTTTATCAAATATATGCCAGATACCATGCTGAATGATTTAATGGAGGCTACAGAATACAACTGTAAAGAGTTCAAATGTCAAATCCTGGCTCAAATCCACCCCTATTACCACTGTGAGACCTGTGAAAAGTTGCTTAATTTTTCCAAGCCGATCATTTCCCCATCTGCCTTCCTACCTTTCTACATAAATGCTTATGTATCTAGCAAATATTATAAAGTTTTTACTATGTATGGCCACTGTCCTAAGAATCTTACAAATATTACTTAAACATCCTATCAGCTTTATGATATAAGAACTCTTATGACTTTCAATCTCTAGATGAGAACACACTAAGGCACAATGGAATTGCTGTTACGTGCGTGGTACAGTTTGAGCACAGGCTATCTGGTTCCAAGGTCTTGCTCTTAACCATTACTGCCTATTACTAGTTCTCACACCCCAGATCCTCAACAATGAAAGCCCTCCTTCCATCCTTCCCCTAAGGACTTCTGACCATGTACCTGAGAAAAGAGATATGCTAAAACTCAGTAGGAAGCCCAACAACACACTGGTTCTGTGCGCCACTAATTTCTTGAGACGTACAGCAACACCACAGTTCACCGGGTTCAGCTGGGGTAACCTTGGGAACTAGATGCAAAGCACCAGTCAGTTGACTGGAATCGAGTTCTGACTGCAGTTTTCTCTGGAAACCCCCAAACCCACAGCACGGCAGTGCCTCCCAGTACATGACTCTATAGGCTATTAAACTAAAAAGGGCTAACCCCAGAGTATCTCCTTCCTACCAAAATTCCAAATCAAATAAACCCTCCCTAAGGGAAATGCATAGATGACCAGCTGGCAGATGACCAGCTGGCAGGGTGGTCCATGTCCACTGAGCAATCTTATCTCGAAGGTTACAATTATTAGCAGAACTGAGTAATGACTTCTGTTGATTGTTGTTCCACATGTAACAAAACTCTTGGCATTTAAAATGGTGCTTAACATGGTAAATGCAGTCACTTCCGTTTCTGATAAAAAGATAGCATACTATAAGTAGTTTACTTTTACTTGGCAGGAAAGAAAACCTCACTATTACTGCCTTGCTTCATTAAATCTCAGGCTCTGTAACCTTGCTATTTAAAGTATGGTTTGTAGAACAGCAGGATTAGCATAGCCTGTAAGGTTTTTAGAAATGTAGAATCTAGCCGGGCCCAGTGGCTCACGCCTGTAATCCCAGCACTTTGGGAGGCCGAGGTGGGTGGATCACACGGTCAAGAGATCGAGACCATCCTGGTCAACATGGTGAAACCCTGTCTCTACTAAAAATACAAAACATTGGCTGGGCATGGTGGCGTGTGCCTGTAATCCCAGCTACTCAGGAGGCTGCGGCAGGAGAATTGCCTGAACCCAGGAGGCGGAGGTTGCGGTGAGCCGAGATCGCGCCATTGCACTCCAGCCTGGGTAACAAGAGCGAAACTCTGTCTCAAAAAAAAAAGAAATGTAGAATCCCAGGTCCTATCCCAGACCCACTGAAGCAGGATCTACATTTTTAACAATGTACATTTTAACTCAGTTGATTTACACACACGATATTGTTTGAGGAGCTCCATATACGTAAGCTAATCCACAGGGAACTTGACAATCTCACCATCCATAGTACAAAGACACTGATCCACTACATTGAAAATGCTACGGAGAAAGCAATGGCCATAACTTGATCCATAAATGTATGGGTAGTGAAGACTTAACACACAAATGTCTGTAGTAGCTTTATGTGTAACAGCCAAAACTGAACACAATCCAAATGTCTTTTATGTAGTAGCCCTGGGCAATGGAATACTACTCAGCAATTAGAAAGAACTACTAATTAAAAAAAAAAAAAAAAAAAAAAAAAAACCAGGGGAAAAAAAAAAAAAAATTAAAACCTACTGTTGCATTTTCATGAAATTCAAAAATATGGAAATTATGGTGATACAAAGCAAGTTCAGTAATTGCCTGGGGATAGGTTGAGGGTAGCAAGGAGGGGCAAAAGAAAGAGATTAGCAAAGGGCCATGAGGAAATTTCTGGAGGTCATGGACATATTCATTATCTTGATTATGGTGCTGTTTTCACAAGTCAAAAGTTACCAAATTGTACACTTTAATATGGGCAATTTATTTTATGTCATTATACCTCGATAAAGCTATTT